GCCCCGTCCCACCCGCTCCAGCCCCGGGTACCTTGAAGAGCTCGCGGGCCTGCTTCTTTAGCTTCTCCATCTTCCACTCGTTCTCGCAGGGGTTGAGGGAGGAGGGGGGCGCGGTGCAGGAGCAGCGGCAGTCGGCGCCCGAGCTCACCGTCTCCACCGTGTAGAAGTCCTCTACCCGCATGCTGCCGTCCTTGATGCGGCTGCAGGCGTCCTTGCTGAGAGGCCGCAGGATGCACTTGCACCGGCAGTCGGAGCCCTCCGACGTCATCCGCACCTGGTCGGTGTCGCCAAACACCTGGGCGGGCAACAGCACCCGCACTCAGGGGGGAGTTAGTTGACCCCAAAGCCCCCGCAAGCCCGAGCTGGTAGGTCTGGGACCCTCGTCTCCGAAGAACTGATTCTCTGGGCCGCGCCGCGCACAGCCCGGCCGGCCCACTTCTGCCTGTTCTGGACAACCTCTCTGCCTGCATTTCTTACACCGGGGCACACAAACCCCTGGGCCACAGCGGCAAGCTCTGCAGGGGAGGCAAGAGGAAGGAACGGGGACTCAAAGCCCTGCCCTGAGTTGTCTGCAACATGGGACCTCAGGGCAACAGAAAGGGACAAGCTGCCTCGTGGGAAAAGTCCCCTGTGAGATGGGCAGCAGAAAGGGCAGGACTCGGACCCGGTCACGCCGGGCAAGCAGCTCCAGTGCACAGGCCTTCGCGTGCAAGCTTGAGTCTGCTTGTGCATCCCGGGGTGGAGAGACCTGCCCGCGCGCCCCCGCCGGGGGGGCCGGTTGTGCTCTCGCCCTGCAAGCAGAGGCTGTGGGTGGCCCTGGACTGCACTTGAGGCCCTGAAGTGCCTGGGCTGGGCTGGGCCGAGCCTGAGGCCATGTCCACTTCTCTGCTCCGTGGCAGCAGCTGTCACGCATCGCAGCGGAAAGTGTCAGCGTAATCATGGGACGTGTGCGGCTGTCGCAGACTCACCGCTCTGCAGCGAAGCCTTCGATCTCCGGTGAGCGAGGAGCACGGTGCATCCTCTCTCGCCCGGCAGGAAATTCCCACTGTCCCCACGTCCCAGTCCTTGGGGCGCAGCGATTAAAACCACGCAGCTCCCCCACACCCGCCCTGTGCCTGCCTGCAGCTGCGGTGCTTCACCTGAACCCACCCGATTTCTGCCCACGGGAAGTTCCAGGCACGACCCAGCTAGGAAGTGCCACGGCTCCCCGGCAGAGCAACGCCAGCCCTCCTCTCCTCCGGGGCTCTCGCTACTGAAAACCCTTTAACTTAAACAACACAACCATGCACAGGAAGCTTGTTGTCTGCCACGACAATGCGGCCACCTCTGGGGTGGGACGCCGCACCTGTTTGCTCACGAACAATGCCACACAACAGAGAGTCAAGGATTACTCCGGCCACGATTCCAGTCTCTCTCTCAAGGCAGAAATTCAAGGATTGTTTCATTTCCAGCCACGATCCTGACAGACTGTGCTCGTGAAAGAGGTGATGGTGCTTTGGGGCCAGATTTCTAATGCACCTGCCCTTTCAAGAGGGAACGCTGTTCCTCACCACTGCCTGTCCCAAGCCGCCCCGTAGCGGGCATCGACGGGCAGGGGTGGCTGCATTTCGGTGGGGAGCAACATCGCTCCAGCGTGCGCCTCTGAACAGGCTGCGAAGCCTCGGGGGAAGAAGTGCTCTAGCAACATCGCATGAAATCATTTCCCCAGGCCCTCGGCTGCCTGGCGGGGGGAGGTACGGCCTCTCCTCCTGCAGCGCGCTCTGTCACTTGCTTTAGAAAATGCCCGGCCGGTCATTATTAGCATTAAACCGTGTGTCCTCCACATTCCTCACCCCTCTGCCATTTGCGTGGGCAAGGGAGATGCCACAGGCCCACCCTGCAATGCTCTGCTGTCAGCCCCTCTCTGCCTCCGGCGACTGGGAGCGATGTGTGCACGCGCGCAGGGGAAGGGACGTCGCCGGGGTTTGGGCCCAATCCTCCACGCTGGAGCTGTCCCTAAGCCCTGGCCAGAAAAGGCAGCACCTGCTTGTTGGTGACCCACGCTCACCCCCAGCCACTTTTCCTCCAGGTCTGCTTGGCTTGCGGTCTCTGGCGGGTGCTGCTGGGCACCGGAGCCTGCCCGCTCCCCACCTCCCAGCTGCTGGGCCAAGGGATTTCAGGCTCCAGTGCAGCTGGCAGCCGGTGGAGTTACGATGCCCTCGGCATTTGCCCTTTCCCTATAGCAAGTATTGCCTAGGGTGAGTCGTGGAAGAGCAGGGAGCAGGCATGTGCGTGGCATGGGGGTGCACATGTGTGCACCCCCCTGCCAGAGTGACTGCTGTGGGGCTGTGGCACGGAGCTCCCCTTGGAGCGAGGGGTCGGGGCTGCTGAGGCTGCAGCTCTGGCTCAGGGCATGGAGAGCCAGAGGGAGTTATCCCCAGCCGCTCGCCACACCTCGCGCTGCAGAAATCTCCGCATTCTTCCCAAGTTATGTATGCGGCCGGCCCCTGACTCATGTTAGCAGCCTTAGCAAAGGCATGTGGCAGCCGGCGGGAGATCCATCGTAAACGGGCAGGGCTCGGCCCTTGTGAGCATTGCACATTGGCCTCCGAACGCTTGCCAGAGCCACCGCCTCTGCATCACCAGTGACTCGCCGTGTGTGTCCTGGTCCCTGCGCTCCCGCTCACAGCCCGGACCTGGGGCTTGTCCCTGGGCATCACTATGGTGCTCAGACTGTTTTCTGCAGGAGCTTTGCTGCTGGTATCTGCAGTAGCACGAGCAGGGGGTTGCCTCCTACCCCAGGTCCCAGGGAAGCCCAAGCCTTTCCCTGGTGCCTGACTTGCCTGGGGGTTGCAACCGAGGCTGGCAGCATCTGGGCTGCCCTAAGGGGAATATCTAGAGAGGGGAGCTGCAGCCTCCAGCTGAACACCTGCAAGAGTGAGTGCGCTGGCACTGGGATCATTGAGGGAGATGACAGATGGGATCAAACTCTGGAGAAAATCCAACCTAGAGCCAAGTGTCAGGGCTGGTCCCCAAGTGGATCGATCCCGAGTTGAAAACAAGCCCGGACCCACGTGCCCCTGAGCGTCAGCGGCTCCGGTGCTGGCCGCCTGCCCCAGG